TGGGTGGGGCCCGACTAGTAATCAATGCCAAATCCGGCGAAACAACTGGCCACTGTGATACAATTGTATAATAATAATAATAATCTGCACGCATATTACAAAAATACGTTACGATGTCCTAGGCCCCTGGGTGGGGTCCGACTAGTAATCAATGCCAAATCCGGCGAAACAACTGGCCACTGTGATACAATTGTATAATAATAATAATAATCTGCACGCATATTACAAAAATACGTTACGATGTCCTAGGCCCCTGGGTGGGGTCCGACTAGTAATCAATGCCAAATCCGGCAAAACAACTGGCCATTGTGATACAATTCTGTTGTTGCGATAATAATAATAATCACTGCCATCACTGCCCTGTTCTTCGCACCGGCTGCACACACACATCCCATTGCCTGTTGTGCCGCTCTGCTCGGACTTGCCCGGGCAAGTCCCTCCGGCGCAGCAGACAGGAAGAACAGGGTGGTGACAGCAGCAGCTTTTTTGGCATGTTCGACACCTCCAGTTTTTGGTGGCCTGCAGCCAGCCACCACTGCCAGGAAGCAGCTGGCAAAGAGGCGGCGGCTGGGAGGTTTGTCACAGTCACATTGTACCAGCTGTCACAGGAGAAAGGTAAGCAGCCCAAAGAAAGAGGCAGTCATGGGGGAGGAAGGGGGGCTAGGGCCTGGGCCTTTGAAGGAGTGGGACTGGTGAAGGGAGAGCGGGCAGCATGCAGGTGGTCTTTGACAGATTAAGCCAGGCCTGGGCAGAAAATAGGTAAATAGGTAGAAATTCAAATTTTCCTACTGGGTTCTGAGTGGCTGTGTCCATGAGTGACATTGAGTTGGCATGGCCAGTAAAAAAAAATTGAATCCCACCACTGTCCTACTGTATAAGTCTGCCTCCAGCTCTGCAGGCAGCTGGAGGGCCACAACACTAAGATAAAACCTTGGTTATTTATAATTGGAAACCCAGATTAGTATAGTATAGTTAATAGCACTTAGAAATAGCACTTACTTATATATTGCTTCACAGTGCTTTACAGCCCACTCTAAGCAGTTTACAGATTCAGCATATTGCCGCCAACAATCTGGGTCCTCATCTGACCCAGAATCGGAAGGATGGAAGGCTGAGTCAACCTTCAGCCTGGTGAGATTCGAACTGTCAAATTGCTGTCTGCCAGTAGTCAGCAGAAGTAGCCTGCAGTACTGCATTCTAACCATTGTGCCACCACAGTTAAGACATCAGGCTACAAACCAGAAGACCTGGATGCTAATCCTGCCCTAGACACAAAGCCAATTGGGTGACCTTAGACTAAACATTCTTTCGCAGCCCTTAGGAAGCAAGCAATGACAAAAAAAAGTCAAGAAAATTGCAGGCAGTCTCCCACAATTGGATACAATTGAAGAGAAAGAAAAACCCTATAAATGACCTTAAAATAATTAATTGACAAAATACGTTAAGAGTCAATATTTTGGTACATGTATCTTTTTTAAATAGGAATTTCTATCCACCATATATCATTCTGGACTGCTGAAACCATCATTACATGCTAACATACCTGTAGTAATTACGAACACTCTCCAGGCTAGGTACGTTGAATGTATCTGTAATGAAAATGGCAAACATTTCAATCCAATTTCAAGATAAAGTTAGGAATAAAAAAGGTAGTCTAAGTTTTAAAAAAATCATTGCAGTATGAACTTGAAAGAGAACCCAGATGCCTAGGGAGGAAAGCAAGATTCATTGCACAAACCAAAGGCTGAGATGCTTTTTGGGAAAACTAAAATTATATAATTTAAAGAAATTTATAACAGAATGGGCAAAATAAAATTACCACAAAAGCTATATATATAAACAATATTCTCCTACTTTAAAATATATATTTATACTTTGCAGACAAAGTGATTCCAGACATTTTTTTAAAAAAATGTTATGGTATATAAATGATTTAGATAATTTATATAATATCAAAATATTAAACATGGTTACATGAGGAGTTATGACAGTCTAGCATTTCCTAATGATAAACATAAAATTAGAATTACATGCCTGAAATCTTGTTTCTGTCTTACCATGATTTCCTTTTATATCTATCCATTTCGTTTTTTCCATGATCTTAGATCTTTTTAAGATTGTCTGGTAAGTTTGCCACTCCACCTCAAACTGATCAGACCCAAATCCATCCTTTGTTTTGGCATCAGTCAAGTCACCTGTTTAGTGAATAGAGAAGAGCTCCAGAACCCAATGAACAATAGAATGCAGAATAAACCAAATGCCACTGATAAACTATTTAGAAATTAGGTTTGACACCTAATGCAACATATTACCACATTATGACTGTATGTTGTCAGTGTTCCAAGTAACATCCCCACGAAAGAAGACTCCGAGGCTTGAGTTTCCTCAAAGTTCCACTTTATTGGCACATCTGGGAAAACCCAAATCTGAAAATTTCCAGGTTTTCCCCACCCAAGTAAAAGTTCAAGTCCCTGCCCAGCACCCACATGTCCATCACATGGTCCAATCAGACACTGTTCCAACTGAAGAGGCCTCCGTCACACCACTCTAGGTGCAGGGCAAAATGACCTTGACTCTCTGACAAAGGAATGTTATGTAGACTATATATCTCCCATACTCCATATAATCCCCCCTCCCATTTATCCACAGTAGAAAATGTGGCAGGCCTGAAGGCCCAATGGAAAAGACGGCTTCCAGGACTGACATATGTTTCCTTTGAACTTATAGAAAATGCAGTATCTGCGTTCTACATGTTTTTACATAGGGTTCATATTCTACACCAGATCTGGGCATTTTACCACCTGCAAACAGGTAATCTGGGAATCTGGTTCAAAGCAAGATTTCTGAAGAACAGGGCACAGAAGACAGCTTAGCTTGTTAATCAGCTCGTATCCCAAAGCTGACTCTGAATAAGGTCCTTTAATTTTAAATTCTATGAACCATATAGGAGTGAGGCACAGTGCCATACTGCACTGTAGACAAGCTTGGAATGGGGTGGTCTTATCCTTCCTCCAAACCTAGACTACCAGCTGCTGCCAAAGATACTTTAGAAATGGCTTCAAATATATTCATAGACTTCCCACACTATAAAAAGGGCTACCTATCATTCTAATAAACTGCAAACTCCTCAAGAAATGCTATTGAACCTCAACTAGCCAACCTCTTTTCTTAACCAGCTGCATGTAGTATTTATATGTGACAAATTAGCATACTAACAGTCCACTAATCGTCACTAGATTAACTCTAAGCTCAGCAAAAAATATATCTGAGATGTTTCTTGAAAGACCTCAGATAGACTAATGTTAATTCTAACTAGTTATTCAAAATATCAGTATGTGTATATGCATTTAAGTGTATAATAAATGATGAATACAGAATGTGAAACAATTAGTAGCAATAAAACAATTTGATAAACACTGTTAGAAAAACAAAGAAGTCCAAGGTCAATCTCTTAAATATACAAACCAGTGTTTCCACTCCAAGCATCACATTTTGCTGTGCGTATCATGAATGAAAAAATTCATTTGGTGCCACTCAGGCTCTTTCAAAGGGTACGGGATCTTTCAGAGGGTGAGGGATCGTAACAGAGGTCTCAGACAAATATTTAGGCACAAAATCATCTGATGGGGCTGACAAGTTAATATAATTTTGAGGGATACCCAATCTGACTTAGAGCCATGGACTTTACTTGTAGTTTCCCATCAAAAACTAAGCCGGTCCAACAGCCCACCTTAACTTTTTGAAATTAATCAATATTAGCTGATAGTTAAAGGTAAAGGTTCCCCTCGCACACATGTGCTAGTCATTCCCGACTCTAGGGGGCAGTGCTCATCTCCGTTTCAAAGCCGAAGAGCCAGCGCTGTTCAAAGACGTCCCCGTGGTCATGTGGCTGGCATGACTAAATGCTGAAGGCGCATGGAATACTGTTACCTTCCCACCAAAGGTGGTTCCTATTTTTTCTACTTGCATTTTTACATGCTTTCGAACTGCTAGGTTGGCAGAAGCTGGGACAAGTAACGGGAGCTCACTCCGTTACGCGGTGCTAGGGATTCAAACCACCGAACTGCCGACCTTCCTGCTCGACAAGCTCAGTGTCTTAGCCACTTAGAGAACAAAGTCTAGATAAACTGCATATGTACTTTTATCTGTAAGAGAAAGCAAATACACAATTGCAAAAAGTGACAG